ATACACACACATATACATATACACACACGTACACACACCTGCAGACAACCGACCAGGGTATCTTCCACGACCTAGAGCGGAGAGAGTTTGCAGATGTTGCCCTCCGGTGCGGTGGAGACACTTGCCAAATCTTAACGGTCTTAGAGTCATAGTCTGCATGAAGACTTTAGCTGCATGTGCGGCTCCTTCCGTTTGGCTCTTATATGAAACTCCTGCCTCCTACCCCCAAAGCTCAACATGTGAGTCATGGGGGTGCCCATGCAAGCCGAATCATGAGCAAGCTTTGTCGCTGTCTTTTGGTCGCGTAAACTGTTTTCAACGACACTTTGATTTCCAGGGGAGTATACATGTCGTTAGGAATCAACGACACTTTGATTTCCAGGGGAGTATACATGTTAGGAACTGGTTTGCGAAATACATTCTGCTGACTGAAGACATGGCCTTCGATGTTATCACCCCTTGTCTGGCTGTCGCTGGTGTTTCCAGGCTGGATTACGGGCATCGCCAATGTCATGGCAATTGTCATAATCAGGTTATACCACCTCCTTGTGGCAAAATCGTTGTTATACTACCATAGTTCATTTGTGCTCCTTCCGGGGACGCTGATCCTCTTAGATGATCACCAAGTGAAGTGCTGTTGATACGTGACCATTGCCGTTGTGCTTTCAAAAAACTCTTACTGCTATGCTGCAGCATCTCGAACTCCACCAGCCCAGGAGTCGTTGACACATGCTGACACGCGGCGCATGACGGAGAGTATTGCCAGTCTCCTGCGTCCCTACGGTGCTCAGGCCGGGCGACAAAGCCAGTTCAGGTACTCGAAGAAGTCTTAACCCTCTAAGCCGGACTTCGGCTCTTCAACTCTTCGATAGTTTTCGGATGCTTTGGAGTCCCGTACCCTGGGTTCTTGTTTGTAATGGTAGACTGGAATGAGTGTAATTCTGTGTGCAGATCCGTTTTGAGACTTAGGTCGTCGCAGTCCACATGACGCACTCCGAGGCTTTGATGCTACCTTTGCTCCTGGGCATCCTCAGGACCGGATCCAGCTTCCTAATGTTGGACGGCTCCGGTCCTGAGCACATGGAGGCGGCGCAGCGCTGCGGCGCCTCTTTGGTCGTTGCCAGCCAGGAGAATGCATTCATGGGCTTGGACGGTGCTGCGGTCGTGTTGGCGCACCAGCTTGAGGCCATTTAGTGTGTTGTATAAGTGTTGTAAAGGAATCTGGAGAACTCCATTCTCCCCCTCGCGTGGTCCGTGTCTGTTTGTGTATGTAGATGTGGCACGTGCGAGTGTGTCTTTGTTCACTTCTCCTCCTCCTCCTTCTACTCCTACTCCTGATTATCCTCCTCTTCCTGCTACACTTCCTCCCTCTCCTCCTGCTCCTGTTACTGCTGCGACGACGACTACTACTACTGCCTCCTACTACAATCCCTTTTCTTCAAGTATAAGACAGCCCCCCCGCATGATGCTGGAGCCCATCTGTCCAAAATCGCTCCCAAGACTACTTCAACCCGCAATTGGGCCAAAAAGGAGGTACCGTGGTAGTGGAGGTTAATGCTTCGCTCGTGTCGGGTTTATCTATGTTGCTTCCGGGGTGCACGCGGCGATTTTTCCAGGCTTGCATCGGGGGTAGGGGCTTTGGATTTGCCTGGCTTGGAAAGTAGTTATGACTGAAGCTGCTTTCCCAAGCGGCTTCCTTCGCACCTGACCCGATCCGCGAATTACAAACCTCAGCGATCTGGTTCATGCGGTCCACGACAGTGATCTTTGAACAAGGGAACCCAGACCCAAACTGCACGAGGCTGCTGCAAGGGAGATCTCCATGGCCGCAGAGACGGATGGAGCTGATGCGGAGATGTGTTCCTCTCTCCAAGGCTTGGGGTGGAGCGAACCGAATAATCACCAGTCGGAATAGAATGTGTTTGTTTCAGGCTTGGGATGATCGTGGCAGGGGCAGAGGGGGATCATGGGTGCAGCGGTGTGGATTTCAGGGAACTTCAAAGACTCGAAGATAAGTAAAGTGATTAAGAACAGGCACTGTGAGAATTGACAGCACGACCAAGCAACGCAAGCTCCCGCATCGAAGATGTCCTATCCAATTGATCATCGCAACGAGTATCTAAGACTTGTATACCATTGCAAAGTAAGGTTCGCAAGCTTTGATTTGCGTTGTTATCTCAGTGGAAGCTCATGCCGCTGCTTAGCTCAGCCTGTGCTTATGGCAAGCACGATCAGCACAATCAGCGCAATCTGTGGAGGGTATCGGCTCTGTCGGAGCTAATAACAAGATTTCACCAGGGTACCTGCGCGGTCAATGAGACAGAGATGCATGCTGGTTGCCTCACTCCCACATGCTGTACATTCTGAGAACTAGTAGCATCGTCCCATCCTATTGTGGGGATGTTCCGGTAGTTGGCTAGCCATTGACATAGAACCTAACGCCCAAAAACATATGCCGCGGAGATCCTGAAGCCTTTCCTGATCCACCTATGTGATTATCGCTTGACCGTAGGGATTGAATCCTAAGCCTTGGAACCTGAATCCTAAACCAAGCCCTAAATCCAAAGAATCCTAACTCCAAGACTCGGGAATCAAGAGACGTTTGGACCTTCGAGGCTGCACCTCTGCCATTCCGAAAGCACTCCCTGCCTTCCCGGAGCCGTATCGTCATCCGGAAAGGGATGCTTCAGGCAGATAGGGAGCAGTGTAAGGGTTCCGAAGTGCTTTCTGGATGCCTAAGGGGACGACATGGCGCAGCACTACAAGTTCACTTCCGGTGCATGCACCTCAGCTTGGCTGACTTTTCTGCTAACCTTGCGGATAGTCAAGCCCAGCCCTGGCTCTGATTTGATCAATGCCACACTTACATGGCCACGGCACATGCCGTACACGCCTAGGTATGATCCAGTGTTCGGAGGAATGTCCTGACATCTTCATTGAGGACATCCTTTGTGGTAGAGAGACGCGGTGGTCCTGGCAGTGGTACTTACCAAGCTTTGGGAATCGAATGTATCCTTATGGGTATGATTGACGCGAACATTCCAGGAAGGATGGGGATCGTATCACTAGCCCCTAATCTGTATGGGAGTTTCTCAACGCCGCCTGCCTGAACATGTGGTAGGATCCCTCGCGGATCAACTTTTGATGACCCTCTCCTGACGACGCGGCATCGTTGATATTTGAGCTCGAAATTCGAGTATGCGGTGCTGGTTCTCAGTTCACTCTCTAGGATGATTTCGCTGCGATCTTGCGCAACATTTCTCTGTTGCTAATTCGTGGCCGTTTCGGGTATCGGAGCTCACCTCGTAGCCCAAAGACTAACTTGCGAAGGAGGGCATCCCTTTCATCTTGGCCGGTGGCAGCATCGAGATGCTGCCAAAGCATGTCCTGCTGAACCAGGCATCGCGTCAGCGCCAAGCGGGGCGCAGTGCAGCTTTTTGTGTTACACATTGAACATCCCAACTTGTTTGCCTGTGTAGTCATCTAGCGAGTGCACGACCATCACAGCAGGGAGTCAGCGCAATAGCTTGAGGGGTTCCTGATGCTGTTTTGTGGGGATTATTCGGTTGAGGTGTCATTCATACCCCTGCGTTTCCAGAGCGATTCTCGTGCCCAACAGGAAAAGCCACAAACATTTCAACAGCCCGGAATCCTGGCACTATTGTAAATACGACAGAGCCCTTCGTACCAAAGCTTCAAAGATTCGCTGGTTGCCTGGCATGCAGGCAGGAAGGTCTGTTGACAATCGGGTTGGATGATGTTTTCTGCACTCGTGCAGGCTAGGCCGGCGTTTCAAGGGGTGTCTTGATTATCTGGTTGCAAGGGTTTCCGTAATTTGTGAATCCTTTCTGGGTTTTCCAGGATCCCTGGACAAGGCAGCCACCTTGTAGATTGCACACTCCACATCTGGCAGCAATTCCTTCTCCTACATCCGAAATCCCATGATCGTGAACCTAACACCACACCCTGTGCAATGATTTTCGCTACATTGCTTTGGTGATTGGACAGAGGTGACAGGCATGCATCCATGTCATCTCGCGCTCCAGACTACATATTTTCTACTCTGGAGCGTTCCTGGCAGTGTAGATGTTTCACGATCTGTTGTGGACCTTTCCGCATCGTGCATGTGCTTGGTGTGTAGAAGGTGTTTCTCAGGCCCTACACCCCAAACCCTAGCCCTGCCCTAAATCTACAGGATGCCCTTCAGCGAGCAGTCCGAGAGAGGGCCGCGACCCACATGACAGCGTGCCAAACTGTGTGTGCGGGTTTGGGGCTTTGGGTTTCCGGTTTAAGTTTGCTTTGGGCCTTTTCGGGTATGGCAATTTGGGGTTCTTTCATAGACTAGTGCCGCTTCCTTCTGTTCATCCTTCTCCCCAGATTCTGAACCTGCTGCTGCTGCTGCTGCTGCTGCTGTCGCTGCTGCTGCTGTCGCTGCTGCTGCTGTCGTTGTCGTCGTCGTTGTCGTTGTCGTTGTCGCTGCTGCTGCTGCTGCTGCTGCCATGGTGGTTGTCGTGTCCGTCTAGAGAACCGCGATCATGCAAGTTTGATGCGATGCTTGCGGTGACGACGATGAACTCTTGGCAGAAATCGACGGGCTTGCATGCTGCACGCTCCCGAGTCGAGTAGATGGGAGGACCGTCAGCACCGCTCTCTTCGACACAATCTCCAGCTTCAGCCTCCCCGGGCTCCAAGCGGTCATTGTGGTTGGCGAAAGCATGAGGACCGCCCGGTCTCCGCCAAAAAGATTTGCTTTGCCTGCGTCGGTCGTTCCGACGGGTGATGGAATGCCAGGACAAGCAAGCAGGAAGATCACTACCAGCGGTTCCAGCGCGTACACCCAACGACTTCAATCTTCCAAACCTCACACTTCATGGAGCCTTGGCTGAATGGGATTGGTGCAATTTCAAGAACGTTTCCATTTGGATTCAACCGATCGCAGTGCACATCTGACGATTCGGGGCTGGGCGTGCCCGGGGGGGGGGGGCATCTTTCTCAATGAGCCAAGGTGTAATCTCTGAAGAAATTCGTTCGTTGGAGTGGGAGCAAATCAGTGTTGATCCCAGCAGCCGTATCAGCCCAAAATCGGAACTGAGGAAGCCGCATCCGGCCCTGCGAGACTACGCTGCATCACCACAAAGCGGGAACTGCCGATGGGCAAGGCTCCAGTTGTACTCTCCTCTGCTCCGCTCTTTTGCAGCGACGGAAGCGACGGCAGGTTTCTTCACATTCGTGTTGTCCAAGTCCTTTTGAAGCCGCAGCCTCCCCGACCCTTCAGCACGGGCTCATACAGACCGCTGGGAGGTCACATGCTGCGACTTAGAGCTCTTCACGCTTTGTATCCCCCAAGCTCCGAACGCAACCCTTGAGATTGCCCCTACCCCTAGGCACGAGTTCCCCAGAGGCAGTTCGCCGGGCACGGACCTACGTCCGTAGCGGTGGCCGGCTTTGGTCCATGGTGATGCCGGATGAGGCGCCGATGGGATCATGTCAGGGCTTAAGGATTTGAGGTTCAAGGTGCCTGCTACAAGGCAAGCAAGATAGATCCCACTGTCCGGGGACGCAAGGAAATACTCGTAGGATGTTGTCCGTCAGCTACATCGTCAGTGACACATCGTCAGTGACGAATTCTCCGGTCAAATGTTGCATGAGTGATTGAGGTTGTGTGGAGCTCAAGTGTGGACAGTGATCTCTAGGCGAACTCTAGGCCAGTCGCATGCTGGCAGCAAGTTCTTGAAGTTTTCAGTCTGCCCGAGACACTGCAGGCCACCCATCCTACAACGATGGGACAAGATGTTTGCCTAGCTGAAGGTGTCTTGCGAACTCAAGATGCATCTGCTGAATCATGGAAATCGACTCTGCAGCTTCGTCCGAGTATACCGTTCACAAAGTCACATGCAGGTGCATGTGGATGCTGAAGCCCTCGAGGAAGACGAAAGTCAGTGCCTCCCCGATCCCGCCGATGCTGTCCGGTGCTCTTGTAGGCTGAGCTACAACGCACGGGGACAATCAGAGGAAGCTTGCTCTTGAAAAACTTCTTCAGAGTCCGGACCATACTGTCGCTGTTGGCATCTTCAGGTCTTGAGCATCACCTTGGTGTGCAAGTTTCAGGCTCCTGGTGATGCTAGTCCAAGGAAGATATTGGTTGTCTGGGTGCTCCTTGCATTGCATGGCGAGGAGCTTTTGACGGGCACTTGCGACGTGATAATCTCATTGAACTCGTGCTACAGAGGGCTGCAGTGACCCATGCACAGTTCGTAGCCGAACAAGATTGGACACGGCCTGCCCTCTTTGTTGTTTCTTTGCTTCATCTGTCATGGCTCTGACCTCGGGGTCAGACTTCAGACTTGGCCGCTTCTGGCAGAGTGTTGGTGCTCTCAGGACGTCGCTGAGGGCGGGATCTGCGAGTAGGATTAGTCTAGTCAGACAGTGCTAGAAGGTACAACCGACGGCATACTTAGGAGCAAGAACGCGAGCACAGCAGTGAACTCTCCCCAGGACTATCCAAGAACCGCAGCAGATGTCGCACTCGTCACCTTTAAAGCCCGTCAGTGGCTGGGTCACTAACCATTTGTCCGGGGTCTCATTGGTGTAGCTCACACGTCGATAAATCAAGGTTTTGAGGGTCGTCGTTGTCGAAGTCGTCGCAGCAGCGGCAAGCGAGAGCGAAGCGGCATAGTGCTATAATACGGTACTGTACTGTACTGTACCGTGCTGTACGAAGCTTTCGACAGTCTATGGGCTGAGCGCTTCCCGCCTTCACGCGGTGCACTGTGTAGCAATGCTTTTCTTTGTATAGTTCAGCTTGAGCGGAACTTCAGCA